AAAAAAAAAAAAAAAAAAAAAAAAAATTAATTCAATATATATAGAATTTATCAATTTATTAAATAATAAAATGATATTTTAATCAATTGACAATATTATTTTTTTTTAATTATATAAAAAAATATTAACAAAAAAAGTAATTTTACTAGCAAATAAATTAAATTGCATCATTGTTTTTATATACCTATTTTTCTTTTTATTATTTAAAATCTTAAATAATAAAATATTATGAATATTTGTAATAATTATTAGATGTAAGTTTTTGTTTACAACTATTTTAATCTGAATACTAACTCTAGTTTTAAATGCTCAAATATCCAGTTGCAAACTTGTTAAAAGTATAAGAAAATAAATTAAAAAATTATATATAATAAAATATTACTTTTTAATTCAATTAATTCATCAAAAAATTGTTAGTAGTATTTGAATAAAATTTATTTAAAATTATATGACCTCAGAATTAAATTTTTATGATCTAGTCTTTTAACAGATTTCTTGTTAATTTAGAGCAATAATCTTTATTACCAGTAAATGAGCAATTATGCTGAATTTTTTTTGCATTACTAATAGAAATTCCTAGCTCATTATTTACTTCTTTTTTTGAAATGCATAGTTCTTATTGAAGACTGTACTTAATATTTAAAATCTTTGAGTTTTTTTTATATTAAATTGTTTGATAGTATAATACTATACATATAGAGTTGTAATAATTATTTTTACAGAACTTTAACATCAATTCTATATATAATTAATATCTTTAATGTTCATAAATTTCATTAATTTTAAATACAAATTAAAATTGTATTAAATAGATAGTAAATTCTACATTTTATAAAATATATATGCTGTCCAAATTATTTGGAATACCATAATTATTCAGTTTATATATAATTTACTATATAAAGTGCTAAAATAATTTGAGATACCATAATTGAATTTGAAATTTTGCTTATAATTACAGCAGCCCAAAATAATTTGGGTAACATATATATATATTATAAAATAAATAAAAAAAAAGAAGTATCTATAAACTAATATTAAGATCTTTCAATATTTATCATTTATTAAAGCCTGTTAAATAATATACAAAATTAAACAATAAACTATTTTATAATAGAATTTACTTTGCTGAGTAACAAACTTTGCAATATTTTAACTAGTTTTAATCTTACATTAAGTGATAAAAGTTTCTTTTTAGTTATATTAAAAAAAGCTCTACTATTGATACTATTCTTTTTTAATATTCCAATTTCAATTTATTAAGAAAAAAACAATTTTTTTCAGAATTTAAAAATTCTTTAACATTTATTACATTTCAATCCTCAACTGTTTGACTAACAGATTAATATACTTGTAGAAGCATTTATGTGTATTTTTGGATCAAAAAAAATTAAAGTAAATCAAATGTATAATTGACAGTTATACAGTTCAGAAAAAAAAAAGAATTTGCAATAGATTTGAAATATAAGAAAAACCTATTATCATACAAATTAGTTAAGTACATTATTACGTTACTACATACTGTAATGTTTAGAATAGGTCATATAATAATTATATGATTGGATGAATATTTAACTAAAATACTGAATGGAATATGGATAAACATTTAGGTAAAGAAACTGAAATAATTAAAAAATATAATAATTTATAATTACATAATAATTTATTTATAGTTATATTATCTATAGTTTAGTTACATTTATTTATAACCATTTATATTTAGATCAGTTATATCTATAGTTTAGAAAATAAATAAAATATTTATTAAATTAAAAGAATTTTAAAATGTTCTAAGCTAGATGTTTATGAAAATTAGCATTTGAGTAATACTAGCTAAGTTGATTCAAATAATTCAAATTTAACTCAAATGACTCAAATTCAATTTTACTAATTAGAAGAATTTGATCAATAATTTGACCAATACTAGTTGGAAGAAATAGTCTATCGATATAATTTAGTACATAGATAGTATAATAGTTTATTCCAAAAACTATATAAGGCTGCGGTTTTGGACTTAATTTCAGGAGTTTGGCGATTTTGAAAAATTATAGGGGATTTAGGAAATAATAATGGAAATTAAAAAATAATAAAATATATATATAACACAATAATTAAATATAAACTTTCGATTGTTTAGCCTTTTCTTATGATGAAAAGTGCATAATGTATTGAATGTAATATAGGGGAAATGCATAAACATACTAGTTCTGTTAGTCAGAATATTACCTAATTACTATAGAGGAGAATGTTATTAAGGGAAAATTATCGCAAATTGAATTATAAATTTACACAATAACAGATAAAATCTAAACCAAGCGTAAATAAAGTTGTAATGAATTATTACGGGTGGCAGACGGGTGACAACGCTTTACCTTACAATCAAATTTGATAATATTAAAGAAATGGATAAAAGATGATTGTAATAATTTTACTATATATTCAGCAACATGAAAAGGTGGTCAATTGAATTATGTGAGAAAAATGAGTAAAGTTACTTTGAAATATTCAAATAACCATTTTTAAATGAGGTATGAAGATGTAATTTTAATTATAATCCTAAGAATTTTCTTTTTACTATAATAGTCAGTAACAAGTTTATATTTGATTAGGTTAAAGCGTATTTAATTAATAAAGATCGTAATAATTTGGAATGCGTAAATCAAAGATTTAGCAGATCTTGAGGTTATGAAAAAGGACTTAATACGAGATCTTTAGAATAGATGTGAGAAAGTTGTTGAATTAGAATTATCTTTATTTGAAATTCGAGAAAAACATAATAACGTATTAAGAAATTCAAACTAACAGAATTCTTCGTTAGAACGAGAAGTAGTCATTGCTGAAAGAAATTCCTTACCCCCATCAAGCTTTAGAAGCTTTATTACAGGATGCCCAAGCAAAACTCATCACTCAAAATCAAGAGTTTGAAACAAAATTGCAAGCGGTGTGAGAAAGATTAGAGTAAGCACGCGGCGGGAATTCAAGCTCAATAAGAATAGCTCGTCCACTTCTTGTTGGAATACCAATCGTGGAGAAATACCAGGAAAATTTTAAGGAAATTTCAAATTTCAAACAAAGAATATCGCGTGAGATGGCTTTCATCCTTCAAATCTCAGGAGATCATTACATCTAATACTTATTGTCTATAAAAGCACCAATTAATGCTCCTCCTCCTCCTACTATACTTATCTCATTTTTGTTGGGACATGACTTATGACTTTGACGAGGATGGTGAGAAATGATTCACAAACGAAAAGTACTGGGATACTCCCTTGACTTTACTGAAGAAGAGTTTGAACGTTTGTGGATTGGAAATAGGAGGCTCGCGAAATTCTCTAGGGAATGTAAGGAGAAAAAGTTGAGGACGTTCTCCTTGTACCTTTACTTGAGTTAAGATTGGAAATATGGACTCGATTCTGAAGGAATCTGTTCTTACTAACAAACAATCCAAGAAGATAATAAGATTTTCAAGCACTGCATGGCGTAGATTCTGGTTAGGCCATTCACCTAAGGTACAGTACCTTATAACCGGAGACCATGCGCGATGAGTATGTCGTCATGTCAAGGCACTTCTTTCCATCAATATCGTCATGGATGAAACAGATAAGAAACTTAGTATGCGCGATCTTTGGCGAAAAAGTAAATGCCGGATCGATAATGTAATCAAGGTATGGGATAATTTATCTTGCGGCGAAAACTTCTTCGAGAAATCAAAGTCTTGGCAATATATTAACGTTATATCTTTGATGTATTTGCATTACAACATAAATTACGTGCAGGCTTCGCGCAGAATATCAGACGAAAAAATGGAAGAAGATGCGGGGAAGATATTCTATTATCTCTATGAAGTCGTCACAGCGTACCTGTACATCGGAGTTATACCATACCTATCATCATGTAAGGGAGTGAAGGTTTTTGGGTGTGAACGTGGGATAGGGTAGTGCGCAGATAGGAGATGTACCGCAGGGTGATAAAATAATCGTATATATAGTTCTAGCATAGAAACTCATGTGTCACAGGATATGCCCAATTTTTTTGTAATTTATTTTTGTATGGTTCACTACATTCACTTAATAATAGAATAATTAGATAATAATCATATATTTATGAAATGAATCACTTGCATAAATCACTTGATTTATTTTATATTTAATATGGAATTTGAACATATAATTAATTATCTTAAAAGATTATCGAAAATATTTATCTGATAATCGTATTGAATATATAAATGATAGTGTTGAAGAAATTTTCAGATTTTACAACAATTAGATACAACATTACAGGATCCTAATATATTCAAACATGCACAAGAGAAGTCAAAAAAACTTTAGACATAAATGAACCGGAAGTTCAAGATTTTCTAAGCGATAGTTATAAGTTATAAGCTCACTTTAATGTTTACTACTAAAATTTATTAAGCTATACTAACAACTGTCAATAGAAACAAGAGAAAAAAGTACCAAGCCAATCAGAAGACCAACCTCATCAAGACAAACATCACCATATGCGTTATATGAAAATGATACACAGTTTGTATTATTTATTTCTGTTGTAAAGGATTTGCATTCAATTTTGTATATTTACGTATTTTTTATTTTATTTTACAGCTATACAATTGTTATTTATACTCCTTGTATTATTTCAATGATTACAATAAATTACTAGAAATAGAAGGATGTTTTCATGGAATGATGAAAGTAATAAATATGGAAAATTAATAAGAAATTCATGTCCCCTGGGTTTGATTTGAAGATTCTCTTACCTACAAAGTAAGCTGTAATAAAAATTGGAAGTATTTTATTATATATTTTGTCTTGGTTAATATATACTAATTTGCTTGTTTTTTGAGCAGAGTTGATCCAATGAATGAAGTAACAGTAAATATAGATCAAGGAATAACTAAATTGTTCATTAAAAAGTCGCGATTCATGTTGAAAATAGTTAATTTTTTCCTCATCTCATCAACTATCATTACAAATTTGCGGTACTACTGTACCTATTATTTCTTTAATTGTTATCTGCTAGGAATAATTCATTATAGTTAAATGAATGATACTTCCCATCTTTGGCTTTGTAGTTTTAATATATTGTATACTATTTTCATTCATCGATGTATTATACTAATATTACATTCCTTGAATGAATTCAAGTTATGTTAATTCAGGCAAATTATGTTTAAGAATAAAGGATCATGTTGGATTAAGCTAATTTGGACCTTGCACAGATTGATAATGATCTAATGCGTGAAATTATAATATACGAAATAACTAAAATAGTAATGCATAGCATAGTAAATAAATAAGACTTGTCATCATAATAAGAAATTATTCGCATATTTGTTTCATTATTTCATATTGAGACGATGCTATTTTTTGCAATTTTTCGGGCACACGCAACAGTCGCCAGATAATTGACGTAATTTTTTCGTCCAGTACGCAATTCATAACACATAAAGATGACCGATCATGTGAAAAAATCATACAAGAAAATGTCAACTAAGGTCTATGAAGAGATAAAAAATCTTGCTTTAAAATTCCCTCAAGTAATATCTAAAGATGGTTTTACTAAATTAATCGGTCTAGAGAAGATTGACAATAGTATGGCCTAATATTTTATAGGTGTTGGTTAATACTTTTCCGCACTGTCATATTTGTTAATAATTAAATTAATATTAAACTTTTGTGCTTTTCCTTCTTTCATGCTTCTCATCGTAAACACCATTCGTATATCCGTAAATCAAGATTGAAAGAGGATTTAATGCATAATTTTTCTATATAAATTTTTTTATAAGTCACGTACATGTTGATGTACTGTACAATACCTCGACATGTTGTACGACATGAACAAAAATGCCCACAAAATCAAATTTTATCGCTCGCTAGTCTGAACTAAACCGGCTTATATAAAAACATTTTGTAGAAGAAACTACTAATATTTCTGCTTCCACCTCTATAATATTTCTATAATATAATTGTTTTCCTCTCGATATTTTGTGAGCTTTTTGAATATCTAACTTATTTTTCTGCAAAGAATCTAATAAACCGTTCTTTTTCGGATTCCAGGTGTTCTGGAAGATTAAGGTTCTAATAATAAAAAAAAATCAAATTAACTTCAACGTTAAAGGAAATCGCCCACTTAATTTATTAATTTTCCATACCTTTGAAGCATGATTAATTCGAGGTTGCATGTTATTTGCTTTAGCGCGTAGTAAAAATTGTAAATCTGACAATTCCTAATAATAAGAGTATTATTTATATATATATTTATATATTTTTTCAAGAAAAAAAAAGAAACTTACTTGAGGAGTAATTAAAAATTCAGAAGTTTTAGAGTCTTTATATAATAATGAAGTTAGGAAATTTTCAATTTCTCCACTGGTTTATGAGATTAAACGTTAGATCATAACTTATAATTAAATTGGAGATTTGATAAATTCATGAATTTAAAATTACCAAGATTCCAAAAACTTTTGTTGCGCTTTCCATTCTTGTTCAAAACGATCAAATGAAGTGTTTCTCGCATTTTCAACTTCTTTTAATCTTTCTCTCAAAGAATCATAGGTAGTAAATGGCAATGACTTGTCCTCTTTTGAATAGCTTGTCGCTATCGTTGTGAAAATCATGTGAATATGCCAATTAAAATATTTGACGTATATAATAAAAATACTCACAAAGATCCAAGTTTAACATTTTTTTCAAAGATAATAGAAAGTCATCACGGCTCTCCACCATTGTTTTATGGCTTGTTGGCTCTACAAAATCTGACGCGGACATAAGTAGCTATTGTTAAATGGAAATAACGTTACAATAATTATTAATTTCATTAGTTGAGGAATAATATTTTATCTTAAATATTTACCATTCGCTTACTGAAATCTTCAGCTCTTCGTTCCAATTTATCCCTCAAATTTGACAATAACCTGTGAACTGCTTTCTGATTATCTAACTCGATATGGAAAATTTGCGCTACAAATTCATTATGTGCATACTGTAGTAGTAACCTATCTATAACCTAAATGAACAGTTAAATCAATGATTCTAATCAATTCAGCAATAACAAACGTTTCTGAATCATACCATTTCCAATTGATCAATAAAGTTTTGTTGATATTGTAATTTAACTTCGCAATCAGCTGTCAATATTGGAGATTCTATTTCTAAATAAGTAAGTTTACTTAATAAGCCATTAATTGAGTCCACAACATTATTAATTTGTTCATTAAGTAAAGAATTTTTATTCGTATTCTGTTCGATATTGGATTTTAAGACATTGCAGCCGGGAATGAAAAAATCCATTCTCACTCTTGTAGCTTCATTTTGAAACACTCGTAAATATGTAGATAGATATTCGAATTCAGTAGAAGCCTTTATATATTTTATCTGAGTTCTTGGATATAAATTCTTTAGACGAATGACTTCATCGGCTAAATTATATGATTGGAACTTTTTTATATCTTCCTACATAAAAGAGCATTTAGTTTTTAGAATTAAAAAAAAAATCCTTTTTCTAAAATATTGCTTCATTACATTTGAAAAAAAAATCTCGCAAAGTTGTTGCAATTCGCTTGTAAATGACTGATCCGAGTTCATTATTTCATCAATCTCATCTGTGCATTGATATATAAAATTCTTTTGCTGCTTTCCTATAATTTTAATAGATTTAATGAAGAGATAAGAACATAATGAAATGAGTACATTAAATCACGTATTCACCTTTTCCTTCAGAAAATTTCCTTTCCGATAATACTTGGGCAACCGTTTTTACCACTGCTGCGGTATCTACATCATACTTTTAAAAAAGAAATAACAAAAATTAATTTAAGAACAATATTTACTAAATAATAATATTGTGGATTTGTTTTTTAAACCTTGACAGAATCTTGTTCAATATTCTTGTCAACCTCTTTGTTCTTTTCGTCCAGATCACGACTAACTCTTTTTAACTCTGCATATTTTTCTTCAATACTTTTTAAGGTTAATCTAAAATTTGATAGTTGAATTTGTTAAAAAAATAGCAGAAGAATTTAATGATCAAACATAATTTTAATTACTCGAGTTGTTCGATATGATATGACAAATGTTCCTGAGAATTTTGTTTAGAATCAACCTCATTTTCGATACTTTCTATTTCCTTTCTAAAAAAATTAACATAAATTAAAAAATTACATCCATTTCGTCAGAATTTCTTCAAATAATATAATACCTACTGTGTCTTCCTTAAAGTGGAAGGGTTACTGAGATAAAATCAATAAATGCTGTTAAATGAATTAAATTCATATTGTTCATACCAGATAAATACGTGGATCTACAGAACTTACATCCAATCATCTTTAACATCAAGAACGTTTTGTTCAATATCAATATTCGTACATAACCAATTGAGTATATTACGCGTTTCTAAATTTTCATACGCCCAAGATATTTTTTCCGGTTGTAAATCTGATACACCCGGATAATCCAAGTTTGTTAGGAAATTTATAAATTCTTTAGCTGAACGAACATTAGAAATGTTTGAATATGAGGACATTATTCTACGAAGAAGTGAAGAACATTTTTTTTTTAAAAAAAAAAATTTTAAATTGATTTACTATTATGGCTATTTATGGTAACCATACTCGTGTTTGACGATCATATTCAACACGTGAATTTATGATTTATCTTTTGGATGATCTGTCAACTGTTTCACTTGAAATCATGGCAAAATTAAGCAATAAAGAAAGTATTTATTTATTCTATTTCAATGATTTATTCTATTTCAATGATCAATTTAAAATATAAAAGATTATTGTTATTTCTATGTCTTAAACCTTATTGACCTTATTTGTGTAGTAAAGTAATTAATGTAATTTAAAAATAATAAATATTGCATATGTATGATTTAAATTACATGCATTTAGATTTAATTGGTGAATATTAAATTAATTCTATAAATAAAAATGAAGAAAATTTACTATAAATATTAAACTGTAGCGTCCAAGGGTAAAATTTTTTTCGTAATCTCTTTATCAAGGAAACGAAATCCCGTTAAAAAAAGAATCAACATTTGGAAAATTGCTTTGTTGTTGTGGGAGACTGATAATCATGTTAATATTTTGAACATGAAGACGTCGAGAGATAGGTCGCGGTCGAATTCTTCTAATTAGGTTCAAATTTTGTTGTTGAAGTTGCCTACTTTGTTGGTTCAAGTTAGTGGGATTAAGGGCACGAGGTATACGCCGATAAGATCGTGAAGTAGCCATATTTATGATGTAAATGATTTTTGAAAAAAAAAAATTTTTTTTTTTTTGAGGGTTTATTTTATTTTTTTATTTTTTTTAAGTGGTTCTTTTTCTTTTTTTTTGATTTTTTTTTTTTTTTTGGTAGTGATTTACATACGAATTAATAACTTATTTTTGTTTAATAAATTATTTATTAAAATGGATGAAGTTAAACTAATAAGTGATGATGTATTTGAACAAATANATTTTTTTTTTTTTTTTGGTAGTGAAATTTTCAAGCTCTATTGCTCTATTTATAAATATCAATGTCGCACGCGTCGCTATAAGACTATTCGCGGCAATTTTCATAATCACTATTCATTAATTTATTGTCTTGGCCAAATTAATTGCATGAGTTTATATGGATAACTGATAGGTTATTTTACTGCGTAAGCGGTACAGTATGTCAGTATATATGAATATTTGTCTGATGCATTTTTTTGGTCGAAGGATAGTCCGATTGTGCAACGAGAATTTTCACATGAACAATTGACACATGAATATGCGTTTTAAACGAATTAATTATTATGGGAGAAAGAAGCTTGATTAAATTTTAAGGACAAAAGTGCTGTTTTTGACTTTATTGAATTGAATGGAGAAAAACTATATGGTGATAGTAGTCTGGACATCTATAAAAATTTAACCTGCGAAGTTCCAATATGCTCTTTTTTTCGATACCGGTTATGACATTTTGGTTTTATTGATGAATTTTATGATGATTACGTAAATTCTTCTGATATGTTACAATCTACCGGTTAACATTAGAAATGCAAGGACAAAGATACAAGCCAAAAATAACAAGGGAAACAAAAATAAAAGAAATAAGAATTTCAAAATTTATAACATTTTATTAGTAACCAACAAAATTATCTGTGTTCCAATAATTTTGATAACAACAACCAACTCCTTTCTCTCTTCAACAGTTTTTGATGATTTAATAATGAATGGGATAGATTGAAAGAATTTTGAGATTAAAATTAATAAACTTCGATTAATTAATTTTGTAATTATTATTAACACAGTATTAAATATCTACTGTAAATAATTTTGTTATCAAATAAATAATAAAATTATATTATTACTACAGTACACTTGTACCATTATATAATTTGTAATTTCCAATTAATTTGATTTAGTTTTGGTTTTTCATAAATCGCCAAATTTACCATATTATTCTGCTGATTATCCAAAACCTCTGAATTATTATTAACATTGACCGTTGATGTTATATTCGTTGTTGTATTTGAAGGTGTAACAAATATTTTATCAATATTATTTTTGATCTTTTCTTCTAAATTTTCAAATACACTTTGTATTTGTTGCGCATTTTTCAAATACCCCAATGTTACTAAACAACTCAGCAAGTTCGCCATTTCCACTAAAAAAAAAGATGAAAGTATAAGAAATATTATTATTATTTAATTTATAATTCAAAAAAAAAAAATTAATTAATCATGTATTCACCTTTGGTACTATTAAATCTTTCAATTAATCTTCTTAAAGAATCATACAAATATTCTTCTTCGTATATACTTCCTTTCTTTCCACGAGCTTTCTTTCTTTCAGCTCGTCTACGACTCTTAGCACTTTTTCTATATAATAACAATATTTATAAAGTAAATGATTTATTATAGATAATTAACAAAATAAATTTAAAATAGTTTATATTTACCCGCTTCTTGTAGACTGGATGCTCAATTGGGTATTTGATTTCGTATATCTAGTAAACTTACTTGCCATGGAACTTGTGTCAGAAAATACATCAACATTCTCTATTGATTCGTCATTATCAAATTGTTCCAAATCTATTATGAGAAAGAAGTTAAAAAAAAATATAAAGCTTTCTTACCCTTTTTATGAAATTTTTACTAATATTTTACTCACCATGTTGCTTAGCTTTATTAAGAAGGACTTCTTGTAATCGCGAAGTTTGCAGATTTAACTGATCCAACATAGAATTGATATCCTGAAGTAGATTGTTATGTCCTAGGATAGAAACATATTAATACATTATAATACAGTTGTATTTTTATACACTTTTATATATCAACATACCTTCGAGAACGCTTGGCTTAACATTAGTCTCTATAAGATCAGCTCTATCATACATATAAGACTACAATAAAATGAATTTAGCAATTGCGATTTGAGGACGATTTAAATTAATTTACTTACAATACGTATGGCCTCTTTCCAATGATGTCCTTTATTAAGTAACACGACAGCATCTTCAGGTTGCTATGCAAAAAAAACCAATTATACTTTAATATTTAATATAATTATTTAAATCTAAAAAAATTACCAACCCTTGTGTAATCCAATAATATCTGAGCAGCTTCTTGATACTGTCTTTTATCGGCCAATCTTTCTAAAAAAAATATATAATGATGTTAAATTAGGTAAAATTTTAATAATAAATCGATATCCCAATAAATATATACCTGAAAGTTCTTTGGACAATAGAAACAAGTCGTTTGAAGAATATTTTAATTCCTGAGCAATAGCAAATGCTTCACGCCACACTTCTGAATTTTTGTAAGCTTCGAGCGCATTCAATTTATTTCCAGCCAAAATGTACGCTAGATAAATAATTATATCAAAAAAATTTTTAATGATTATTGAGAAAAGAACCATATCAAAAGAAGTTTATTTTTACCTAATCCAGCTTCTTCAAAATTAGACTCTTTGCTCAGATAATCTCCATAAACAGCCATGACTCTCTGTAAAAAAAAATAAATACAAACTAACTAAATAAAAAGGGACTTTTTAATAAAATAAAATAGAAATCTTTAATTCTCCTTACTTTATATTTTTCATTATCATTAGCAAAAATATTAATAGCCGATTTATAGAGTTGATGTTCTTGAAGGTATTTCAAACATTGCTCAAAATAATTTTCACCTAAAAATTGATTGATTTTTTTGATAAAGTTAAGAATCGATACAAATTAAAAAAAGTAAAACGTAAATAAATATTTTTATTACCCGCTAAGCTTAGATTATATAAGGCCTTCTCATATCTATTAAGATGATCATCAATCTTAAATCTTTGATAATATTTCGAATGATTTTCAAGTTCCGCTAAAAATGATAAATATTCTCTTGGGTCCTTATTAAAAAATATAGAAATAAAATACGTATTAAGTAATTTAAAATTGTAAATTATAAAACATGATACTGTAATAGATCAAAATTACCTTTTGAGATTGCTGAGCAACCAAAAGCACTAAACTAAAATCATACATTCCCAATGCGACATCGAATAATTTATCTGCATCCACTAAGAATATTGCATATTTTACTGCATCCTCTGCAAGATTTAAGTTTTGATCTAATCGATAGTTTATAATAAAATACAAAATAAATTAAGTAAATAGATAAGTAAGCAGATAAGAAATAAATTTTGTTATTACCTTTTAATTTGGCCAAAAAATTTAAAGCAGATTCTAATTCTGGTGGAGATTTTTTTACATAAGTTGTTATTATGGATTGAAGATATTTTTTAGAATCTTTCGATTCTAAAACTCCACGAACTACATCACATATAATATTGACTTTCGTTGAAACATCTTGAGACCTATTTTTTTTTTTTTAAAAAAAAAAAAGCTTTTTAAAATCTCATATTTATGACGTTAATTATATGTAAAGAAAAAAATTACTCAGTATTATCAGATGGGTTAGGTTTTGAACCTATAGTGATTCTAGGGTACATGGTTTTAGTCACATCTTCATTCCTATATAAAAAACAAATATAATCTTTTAACAAATATTTGGAATATCCATTATCTGTAACAATAACAAAATAAGTTTACCTTAAACTTGATAAGAATAAATTTAAATAATCAACGTTTTTAACTTGATTAATAAATAATTCAACATTGTTCAAGAATAATTTAGGTTCGTGATCATATAAAATATTTAGATCAATTCTATGTCTTCTACAAGTCATATAAGCTGATAAATAATCAAGTCTAAGAAGAAAAAATATTTTTTTTTTAATAAAGGAGGGTTAGTTTAGACCATATATATATATTAAAAAGAGATTATATGCGAAATAGAAAATTTCAATTTACCGATTTAATGATTCTCGTACTGATGCCAAAACTAAAGCTCGTGGATGAACAGTTTCCAAGTTTCCTCTAGGCATCTTAAATTAATACAAAAAATTAATAACTTATTCAATAATAATCAATATGTTAAATATTAATGTGAATTACCTGTAATATAAGAAAAACATCAAAATAAACTGCGCATATTATTTTTGATCCTCTCTCTACCTTTCTCATAGTTTCATGATAAGGATGGGACTCATTATTATTAAAACTCTCCCAATCTATAATTCATTTATATTTTATGTATATGATTAAATAACTCTTAGATTATTAAGATAATTTTAAAATATTTTACCTGATAAATTAGCTTGAAGTGGTAAAAATTTGACATTATTATTTAAGGTGGTAGATATAAGAAAATCATTATGTATAAAAAATGACGTGCAATCCATTGATATTTGTGTATTATTCCCATATAACTTGTTATTTTCACTCAATCCTATTATCACAGTCTAAATAAATTTAAGAATAAATTTAATATTGTTGAAAAGAAACATTATTTTATAAATTTAATTTACCTCATTTCTTTCATCTCTCCCGATTTCAGTTGAAGATATCCAATTACATACTTCAGGAAAACTAGTAAAAGGATCATTTTGTATTTTTAACTTTTCTCCTGGATCATTATTTTCAATAAATTTATTAATTTGATCTATATATATTTTAACTAAAATTATTGTGGGAAAATTTTATTTCTGTTAATACAAAATTTTCGTATATTACTTATCACTAAAATTTAATCATATTAATTAATACCTTTAAAAACTTTTCCATGAGTATTTTCAAACCACAATTCTTCGTTATTTGGGTTAGAGTATAATCTTAAAATACTTTGACAAAGATTATGCTTTTCATTTGACAAGTACTTTGCTTTACCATTCTCATCATAGGTCAAATAAATTACGACCAATTTATCGTAATTATTTTCACATTTGATTGAACATAAACCGTATATAATTGATTGATTAAACCATATGATTTGTCTCAATGTTCCTTGATCATTGTTTGAATCTTTAATTCTAGTTAGATCATAAAAGATAGTTAATAGTTAGTGATAATTATAATACGTAAATGATGGTTATCGTGAAAGAGGGTATAATATCACCGAGATGTGAATAGTGTAGACTCACAAGATCATGCATTTAGGAAAATACTGATAACTATTTAACCCTGGCTACGTCCAAAATATTGATATCCAGGTCAGTATATTAGCATCATACGCCATAATATCACTTATACATGATCCACATGATCCTGGTGGTCGCACTATATTATATATTATATAATATATTATTCATACATACTGAAAAGATCCTATACATGTTGGGACCTTGATAGGTCTTTCAAACGCTCCGCTCCACTCAAACAGTGTAATTTGCTGATTGGCTTCAAGTACAGCAAAATTATTTCCACCATTTTTATTTGGTAAGAATGATACACAAGACGCTGGATTTGAAAGTTGCACGGAGAATGCAAACATTGGTGGCGGTACATTCATCACTCTAAAAGGTGTAAGATTTACGGAAGCTATTAGATTGATATATGATGTTAAGGAATTAATTATACTAATTATTCATTATTATTAAATTCCCAGGTCTATTAATATTACTTCAATATTCATATACTCCCATCCTATAATCCAATTTCATATAAAAATATTAAAGGATACATCCATCAATAACAGCAACTGGAGCAACATTTTTGTCTGAAATTGTATTTGCACTAAACAAGTCCCAACAGAAATCTAGACAATAATAGTCATCTATGGAAATAGTAAATTTTAATATATTTAACAATGCGTCTAAAAAGTTTTCAAAATTAAGCGATCACTTTAATTCTTACTTATTGTGGTATAATGTAATCTTAGTGCTTTTTCAACATCCCAAGCAACACTAGTTATTTTATCACCAAGTTGACATTGAATTTCTTGTTTTAAGTACCAATGGTAATTATTCATATACCATAACTGAACTAATAATTTATTAAAATAATTATTAAATAATTAAAACCCTTCAAATAAAATTTATTATAAAAAGAAATCATAAATACCACAACTTGATTGTTCGTTATCTGATATTATTCTCTCTATCCATACAGCTAAAATTGTAGAATCACAATTCCACAAAATTTCAATAATCTACAAAAGTATAAATAGCTTCATATGGAGTTGCATATATTATTTAAAAATTAAAATGATCTCTACCTTATGAGTCTGTGTTTCACGTAATGAAAATTCTCCATGTCTTAATCCATTTTTTTCAAAGAAAATAATTTCATGCTTATCTGGTAATCTCCGACTTGAAGAAATCAAATTTCCTGATGGCCTTAAAAAAAATTTACATAATTGTAGATAATTGTAAAAAAAAAAATCCTTGAATATACAATTCATACCTCCATGATAATACGTGTTCAAGTTTATCAACGGGTTCACTAGTATATTGTAACACACCTTCTCTATTATAAACACGAATAACTCGAAGTCCTAAATTACAGTCCAAATATTAAATCAAAATAAACTATCAAATTGTTTCTTCAGAATAATAACGAAAATCACCTTTATTAGGATCAATTATTGAACAACAAAACATGCTCCCATCTCCTATCCATGATACACGTGGTTTTAAATCATCATCTTGAGACATAGTAAAACCAGAAATATCCACTTTGTTCTGTGCAGCAGATTTTCCGGCTGATCCATGAAATTGTGTTTCTTTTTTTCCCCATCCAACATTTATACTAACAGCTTATTCAAATAAAGTGAATCTATATTAGTTTAATGAATAAAATTTCAAATTCCATAAATTATTAATCACCTTCTCCAGTTTCTTCCACGTTAATTGGAAATTCTGTTATCACATAAAAATCCTTAGTCATTACCAATATTGTATTATTTCCTGTAAAATAATAATATTATATTACTTTAATATCCAATATTTAATCGTAATTATGATTCAAATATAAATTATTTCACACCGGTAACAAAAATAACTAATTCATCATCCGGACTCCATTCCATGCATTGGATCTTAGATTCAATTGAACCAACAACTTCAACCTATTTTTTTTTTTTAAAAAAAAACATAAATAATTGATATAAATAATATAATTTGATTAAAGATTTTATATATTTACCTCTTCTTCCGATGAATCCAAGTGAACAGATACAATATCACCATTATGAAACGCTATATATATAGCTTGATCATATACTGAAAAATGCATTCCACAAACTATTGAAACCAAATCTGCAATGTCTTCTTTATTTGGCCACATTGCTATTACCTAAAAGAAAAGGACGAATAAGTCGAAAGCAAAATTAATTAGTTAATGTCAATAGAATGTATAAAAAAAAGAGAACCGGTTTAATTATAATTGTAAACATTACCTCTGAATCATTATGTTTAATAAGTTCAAAATGGGTTAAAGAACTAGAGAATTTTAAAAGATATACTGTTTCATCCTCATGATTGATTAAAAAAGTTTTTCCAAGCTTATAAGGACAAGAAGAAATTTTTTGTGAAAGTAAATTTAAACTTTTCATTTTAGAAAATCTGAAAGACAAAAAAAAAATACGTGTTTTTTTGATCTACAAATAAATGCAGCTGCGGGACCCTGATTTAAAAAAAAGATTATCTATAAAAACGGGAAGTTCTCTCGCAAAAAAAAATTATTTTTTTTATTTATATTTTAGGTATGTGAAATTTTATGAAAAATTTTTTTTTGTATTTTATCAATGTTTAATTTAACAATCGAATATTTTTTTTTTCTTTACAGACATGCCGTGTAAAGTTATCTTATCAAAAGAAATTTCTTCAACTTTTAGGTAAATTTTTATTTTATAAAATTTAAAATACATATTTCCTTTCCTGCCTAGACATCTTTCCAGAATGTTTACAAGTTTTAAAACAAAAAAAATCAAGAGAAAAAAAATGATGAATAAATGAAGAAACAAAAGAAGATAGCATTTAGTTATATAAAAACTAAAAAAAAAATAATAATCAGGTGGATAATCAAGACTCGATCATATTGCCACCATCATCAAAACTTAAATTATAACCTACGTCAAAACTACAATAAAAGTTCACTACAATATTTGGTGTTAAAACCTTATAGAGAAGAATTAAAGGCCACAATAAAATCTCGTGGAATTAAACCAAAACTTGTCGGATTTCTTGCCAATGAGGATCCTGCTGCTGTAAAGTATGCTGAATCTACATCGAAAACTTGTGAAGAAACCGGTGTAACTTTTGAACTAAGAAAATGTGATAAAGAACAATTAGAAGATCAAATTGTTGAAGCTAACGAGGATGACAGCATACACGGTATAATGACTGTCTCTTATACACATCTAGATGTGTATAAGAGACAGGTATAATGATTTATTATCCTGTATTTGGAGATCGTCAGGTAAGCTAAAAAGACTTCTTTTTTTTTTTAAAAAAAAAAGAGGATTATTTTTTTAGTTATAATTTAAGTTTTTTTTTTTAGGATCAATATCTTCAAAATGTTGTTAGTGCTTCAAAAGATGTGGAAGGATTATGTCATAAGTACATATATAATATGTATCATAATAAACGATATCTTGACGAAAAACAAACTAAGAAATGCATTATCCCTTGCACACCATTGGCAATAGTTAAGGTATATACCTTTACAGTCTATTTTATATATGTGTGTAATTTACCTGGATAATCTCATGATCTCCTAAAACGCTTTTTAGGTATTAGAATATGTTGGAGTGTATAATTCAGTTCTGCCATACGGAGATCGATTACACGGACGTGTAATTACTATAATTAATCGTAGTGAAATTGTTGGACGTCCCCTCGCTGCTTTATTGGCTAATGATGGAGGAAAAGTATATTCTGTAGATATAAATAATATTCAAGAATTCCATCGTGGAACTGGTTTGAAATTAAAAAAACATGAGGTATCAAATAAATCAAAATTAAATTTATTTAAGAAAGTTTTTCTCTTTTACTTACTATTATTTTATTTTAACTAGGTTCGGGATACAAATTTAAAGATTGAAGAAATTTTACCGTTTTCAGATGTAGTAGTAACTGGAGTTCCAACACCTTCTTATAAAGTTCCTACTGATTTATTACGTGATGGAGTTGTAGCAATAAATTTTTCTGCATTTAAAAATTTTAATGATAATATTAAAGAAAAAGCTAGTATTTATGTTCCGGCTGTTGGTAAAGTTACTATCGCAATGTTGGAAAGAAATTTATTGAGATTATATGATTATCATAATTATCAATCATAATTTTTTTCTAAAGGTAACTTTGTATTTTATTGTTTATTGTTTATATGAAATATGAAATTAATGAAACAAAGTATTTGTTAGCTTTATTGTCGATGGTAACGTAATTTTTTTTTTAATGTAAATCATGTGACAATGAAAATTTGGCAATAGAACATGTGCAAGTTTCAATTTTAGTAAAAACCATAGCGCTATTGATTAATCATTCGATAAATGAATCGAATGATTATTGGTGTAATTGGTATCTCTTTCTTAAGTTTTTACAAATTTTATATTTCTTATACTTAAATTCTTAAAATTCTTATAAACTATGGCTTCTTCTACGAATTATTTTAACAAGAATTTTTTGCTCGAGAATTACAATACCGGTTCGCAACGTGGATATGGTGATAGTTTTCATAATCTCCAAGAGGGAATGGTTACTTTAGGATATTTAGAAAACGTCAGAGAGCAAGTTAACGCGTCATTTTGTTTAAATTCAAATAATTATGCTTCTTGTAACGTAAATCAATCGAAAGTTATTATGCCAACCTTGGAGATTAATTTACGAAACTTGTCTATTAAGAATGGGAATAATATTAGTGATGATGTGCAAAAGACAAAACATGCCCCGTTCATTCAAGGACTAACATTTGATTTTTTGCCGGATGATGCATTTATTACAATAAAGCAATCTAAACCGATTCATAATATCGCATTGTTCATCTCATTTAATTATGATTTAAACAATCGTTTTTTTCAACAAGAGTGTAATGCACATGGGTTTCACGCCTTATTTCGTGAAATTCAAGATCATGTAAACATCGTACCAATTGCTAAGCTTATTACCGATGTTGTCATTAATTGTTGGTCGAATAATTGGGACATCATCATATTTATTACTTCGGAACCTATACTTCCTATCAGCACTGTCACAACTTTATTAAAACTACTACGAGTTTATTTTGATCAAAAAATTTTGGATATTGTTATAATTTGGCCTAACGTATATAAAACGAGCCGTCCATGGATTGATGAACAATGTAGAGTTGCTAAAGCCACGGCGTGTATTCAAGGTATTGAAGTTTCTGATATCGTCCCACAAATAATGTCATATTTCGATAATGTGAGTATTTTAAATTTTCATAAAATTTTTTAAACATTTGTTTTAATAGAAATAATTTGTTAATAGGGCGATTGTAACAAGGAGATCAATGGAACGACTGCTTTATTTGATGAGAAGAAAATTACAATTTGTTATCATGAATTCAATAATTCTTATCCAGCAGCAATGAGAATCGATGATAAAATTTGGCCCAACGTCAAGCATTATTGTAAGAAAAATGAAATTACTTTTCTATAAAATATTTTATTAAATTTTTTTTTTTTATAATAGTTCATATTATGAAAAGCGAAACGGAAAAAGCTTCTTTGATGGAAATAAATTCTCATGATAGAAATATTTTGCTAGAAAATATCTTGCGTAAAGCACTATACAATAAATTCTCGCAACATTCACGACTTAAACATATACTTTTATCAACTCGAATTGCTTCCATTTGCTTTACACAAGAAACCTGCCAATGTAATTTACATGATTACGTACATCTAAACTCAAAAAATACCGTGAAAAGTGATACAAAAATCTTAAAAGCAAAGTTTATCAATATCTTGGAAGAAGTAAGATATAATTTGATTCAAGAAGAGAGAGAAAGAATTAAGTCAGAGCATGGAAATTTAATGAATAAAGAAAAGAATCTTTTCCTATTGTGAAACGAGTAACCATTGGGTTGTAATAAATAATGAAATAATAAACCGCCACTTATTAAAAGAAGTTTATCAATATCTTGGAAGAAGTAAGATATAATTTGATGCAAGAAGAGAGAGAAGAATTAAGTCAGAGCATGGAAATTTAATGAATAAAGAAAATAATCTTTTCCTACTGAATTTGTGTAAATGAAACGAGTAACATTAGGTTGTAATAAAAAAATGAAAGAATTGGCAAAAATTGCATTAATACAGTATGGTAATACATTAAAATTTACTGAATAAATAACGTGATTTAACTGTAAAAATAAAATTCACAAAATATACTTAAAAACATTGTTATTAAATGAAAATAACCAATGAGATCAATTATTAACTTATTAAATCGTCATTTATTTTAACTTGATAATTCACTAACTCACTACGCCTAAAAGCTGGAGGATATTTTAGAATATCTGCATTGTTTTCTAACATAAGAAGGATTTTTTAATAAGGGTTTCTTTCATTTCAAAATACTTTAAAACTTCTGAACTTCAATGAGTTTATCATGATTAAGAGTCTTGGGCTTTTGTTGGATTAATTACGTAAGTAATTTATCAGTTTAGTTCGTACAGATTTAATATATTCGTTAGTGGGATTTTAAATTTGCATGAACGTTACTTACAAATCAGATTAAAGAAACGAAATAACGAATATATTTTAACGTTCAAAGATCAGAAAACTTTGTGGAGACAATAAAATCACTTAGTTTCTTTATAGGTCCAGCCCACCTTGAAATAATAAAGATGCTTTATATACAAACAACTAATGCGTTAAGCATTAGTATTCAATCCTAGACGGTGTGCTACTTAAAAAAGTTTGATGTAATATTAATATAGCTTGCATGCCTTGCAACATATTGATTGACCAAATATTCTTTGGTCGTCCACATTTTGAATAAGTAGAACCTGTATTAGATCCTGTTTTCATTGAAGATAGTAGATTAATTTCTTTAGAGTGTAGAGAATAACATACTGATACGTACTGACATGTAAAACTACACAAAGTATACGAAAATTAATTATGGCCCGGTTTTTGTCAATATTTTCAATATAACCTATTATTGTGGGCAGTTGTAAATTATAATTCTCTTGATTGGCCACATGTTCATATTATATTCAGGTAACGTTGAAATTTAACAGTACAGTAAGCCTGTTCAATTTGATCGGGTTTTAATTCCATGAAATTAATATTTAAGTCAATTTTTCGTTTAGTTCCAAGTATGGGTTTTGAGTTGTAGGGATGTTAAAACAGAGTTTAAACTAGAACCCGAACAAACATGCTCAAACTTATCACGTGTTTATTGCTCAAATCGGTTTTTAAACTTTAAACTCAAACTTCATTTAACTTGCTTACATATACATTCTTAAAAATAAGCTAAACAAACTGGTTTATTGTAAGCTGGTCTTAAACCGAGTTTGACTGGATTTGGAACCTATAAACTCCCTATTGGGTTGATACTTATTAGATGATGAAATCGTGCAACTTAGAATTGTTTTGCGGAATTTCTGAACAATCAGAATTATATTAACTCCTTTTTCTTGATTTTTTGATTTGTTTGAGTATAAATATCGTGCTTTTTCTCAATATCGAAATTATTTTTAGGGCAACAACTCAACAATATTTGCTCTTGTTTTAAATTCTATATTTAATTTAAGTTATTTCCCGTCACTCAATAAACATATTCTCTTTTACTTGCCATGTCTGCTTTTAAAGAATTGAATAGGAGAAGAATTCAATGCTTTGAGCTAGTTCCCCACGAAAAATGGTCTCTTGAACATTTTACTTCCTAGGTGTCTGATAATTTCGGCCAGACAAAAAACAACAACGGGATATTTTATAATGTTCTATATATAATTAGAGACGATGTACAGAAGAATTACGCGATGCTTATTAAATAGAAAAAGCGATAAGAAAATTGATAAAAAGAAGGTATGATAAGCGGTTTATCTTAAGGTTGCAGCCTTTTAGTAGGCAAGTTGCCTCCTGTATTTGGTGCACGTTTGTAAGTTCGTCCTGTTAAGCACAGCACTCTTGCATGTTTTTCAGGTTCAATCTGTTAAGCGCAGTCGGTAAAAATCTACTGATTCCAGAGGAGGAACCAGTTACTGTATGTACTTTCCTTCCACATCTACATTATTCTACTTTCTTGGAGGTATTTCTCATAATTTCTTAATTTTTTAAAGGCTAAGGACAAATTAACTGATATAAATAATTCAGTTAATATAAATGATGAAATCACCGCAAAAAATGCCAGTATTTTCACGTTCTCAAATAATAATAATGACAATATTCATGGTAATAGCATTGCAAGTACAAGTGCACAATATCTAACTTTTGAGACTATTGAGAATGAAAAGCCAATGAGGAAAAAGAAATTATTAGAAAAAGGTATTTATATTTACGAACTGTATTATTAATTTTAAGATTTAAGCTTTGCCAGAATCAACAAAATGATTGTAAATGCCTGCTGGTTTTTTTAATCGTTTCCAATAGTTATTTAGGAAAATAATAAGAATAACCAGAAAGTTATTCAAAAATTAAATACCTTGGAGAATTTAGTAAAAGGTCTGATGTAGGTATATCCAAAATCAAATGTATCGAATGGGAAACTCGAATTTTAGACAATCGATTTTGATCTAGAGTATGAAACGAGGAGTGATGCGTTTCAATGGGATGATAGATCCAAGAGAGATCAAAAAGACAGATATATGCCTCATCAAGAAAGTTACTCCAATTCTCCAAACACCGGAAACTTGAGATATGATACGAGCAATCATAATAACTTTCTTATTAGTATAAGTGCTGACATTCTTCCAATCAGACTCATCGGTACTACAGATGTAATTGTAGTAGACAGGTTTTCCGTCTCCTCCAGGATCCCACAGAACCATATTCGGGTCCTTTTTGAGCTCAAGAAATCTGTAAATGATGGACATTTATACCAAGCCTTGGCAGAACTGACTGCCGGTGATTTAAAATCAACACATGCTGTTTTAGCTGTACTAACATATTTACGAGATGATTGGCAGTTTTTTTATTTTAATGACAAAAGGATCGCACTTATACAAATAAATATGAAATCTGCTAATCAAGAACTAAACCATGAGACAGAAGTAACGGATCCATTGCCAAAAAGGCAGAAGCTTAAACATATATATGGCTATTGGATAATGCACTTGAATCACCTATTTATAAGAAGAATTGCTTAAAAATATTAGAAAACACTTATGTATATTTATATAATTATGAAAATTTTTTAAAAATAAATAAATAGCAAAAAGAGAGTTCTAAAAACGAATATCAGGTATTAAGCACGCTTCTGTAATTCTGTTTAGCTAAGCTTAAGCAATAATACGAATTTGATATCATAGCAACTCTCTTAAGCATAAGAATATGAAAGAGTAACGTGTTTAGGACAAAAATTTAACTTATTATTGCGAGATTTTTATATTTATCTCAGTTTGTATAATATAACAAACTTCGAAATAAAGTTAAACTATAAGCAAATGGAGCAAATGTATTTTTTATTGTTATTTAATAGTAGTACAATACGTTATCATCTATCAGCTATATTCTTCTTATTTTTAAGCTATACTCTTGAAGGAAATCTTTAATAAACCGGATCCTCGATGATTTGCGATGCTATTATTAAATTTTTAAAAAATTTAATTTTTCAGCTCCTAGGAAAGCATCAATAATTTTATTGACTTTTGATAAATAGATAGTCAAATAGAATCAACACTTACTTTGCATTGTCAGAACTGCAGATTCTATGTTACTAATAAAATTATATTAAATTTTACCAATTATTTTATCACGAATCAAAGATTTCATGAAATTAATTTCTAAGCTTACAAAGAGTAAAGCGTATTAAGTGAAAATTTTAAAGTCTATTAAATCAATACTTTGACTTAATATAGTAGTTTTATATATTAATTCCTAAACAAAAATACATTAATTCTAAAATGTTTATTAATTTGTTATTCATATCTTATTTTAGTCTATATTTATTACATCCGTATAAGATTCAGATCTAAAATCTTTGATTACTCCATTATTTTTATATTTATTAATCAATTTTTTATAATCCCCTTCTTCATAAATATAATCGGATAATAAAATATAACTGGATGTAAGTATGGAAAGTGTACAACCTTCCCATTTTCTTAAGAATTCCTCCAAGGCTTTTAAAGAGAATTTAAAATCACCATAAAATCTAATTTCCTCAATATTAGTTGATTTTGAACTAATTAATATTTTTAATAAATCTTCTCCATATTTTAAAACTTTTTCATAATAAGTTGACTCTTCAAATGTTTGATCAAATATAACTAATAATAACTTTTTTAAATTTTGACAAATTTTTAGTAATTCTTCAATTTCAGCGTAATGCTCCTTTGATGGTGGAAATACAAGAGACAAATATTCAATTGAAGGACAATTCTTATAAATATTACGTATAAAAATAAGAGAATCTTCAATGAAGTTTTTTATATCATTTCCTAATTCATAAGATTCTAATAAGATTTTCTTTAGGTGACCTCCACTATTTTCAATTATAATAGAAGCTGCTTTTAAATTGTAATAATTTATTTTAAGGGTCTCAAGTTCACGATATACACACATTTTTAATTGTTCTTCATTGAAACTAGGAAAACTAGTTACTATTAACGTTTTTAGTTTATGAAGTTTTGGAAGTACCTTTGGCAATGTGCGATCCATATACTTAAAGTAAATATTTAAATGAGTAATAATATTTGCATTTTTTTCTAATGCAAAAAGAATATCTTTATAAGAAACTTGATCTGATCCAGAAACATATAAATAATCATCATCATCTCTCCATTCAAAATACTTTAAATTTTTCTGAACTCCAATTAATTCAGCAATCCCATGATAATTATTTTTAACGTTAGCAATAATGAGTCTCTGTATATATTGACATAGCTGTGCTAATCCATAAAAATATGAAGAATCTATTGATGTATCACATTCTAATTCACAAAGTGATTCAAAACGAATCTTAGCTTGTGGAAAATAAAATATTTGATGTCTAATTGTTTTCATATCCAAATACTTTAACTCTGGAAATTTCTTCATAAAAAGATCATAAATTTCTTGTTGTAAAAGGAATCGATTATAATCTAAAGAAGATCCAATAAAAGCTATAATTCTTATAGTAACTACATTAATACTTCTACAAAAAGATAAGTAATCAAACAAAAGTGGTTGGTATGAAATTAAAGGTAATTGAATTTCTTGTTTCGTTAAGTATTCTTTAATATCATCGGATAAATAGGAAGTAATAATTGCCAATAAATAATTTTTACTGAAATAATTAATATCATAGCACCAAGGATTCCTCCATAAAATTGGAATTACAGTTTCACACCAAATTCTATTGACCATTAAACATGAAAAGAGAGATTTCGAATCATTTTGAAATTCTTCAAATATTAAATAAAGAATATCCTTGTTGAGTTTTGACATTCTTTATACAAAATAATGAAAATGTTTTAAAATAAATCTTTTTGTAAGAATTTACCCAAAATTCGAAATATTTATATACAGTATATATATATTTTTTTTTAAAAAAAAAGAAAGAAAAGAAAAAAAAATAAAAGAAAACGGAAACTTTTAATAATAAATGCCGAAATATTAAATTGTTCTGTGCGACCATCATGATGTTTCACATTACGTCAAATAGCAGGGGTCTAACAGCATTTGAAGGGTAAATCGCTGCACTTTTCATTGAAACACAAATTTTCATTGTTTTTTTTGCAATCAAATTACAAAAAAAAAAATTTCATATTTGAGAATACTTTTAATACTAGTTATAAAAGATTATTTTGATAAATAATGTCAAAACTCAATAAAGATATTTTTTTCTTAATATTTGAAGAATTACTTGATGATTCGAAATCCCTCTTTTCATGTTTAATGGTTAATAGGCTTTGGTGTGAAACTGTGATTCCAATTTATGGAGAAATCCTTGGTGCTATGGTATTAATTATAATAATAAGAATTATTTATTTTTAATCATTGTTTCTTGTTTATCTGATGATATTAAAGAATTCTTATCAAGACAAGAAATCCAAGTACCAACATTTTCATATCAATCACTTTTGTTTGATTATCTCTTTCTAAAAGTATTTATATAGATGTTATAAATACTATAATTTCAATTGGAACATCTTTAGCTTATAATCAATTTATTTTACAACAAGAATTTATAATCTTATTATAAAGAAATGTTGGGAGTTGAAGTATTTGGATATAGGATCAATCAACCATCAAATATATTATTTTCCAGAAGCTAGACTTCGTCTTGAAACACTTTATGAATTAAGATGTGATACATCAATAGATTCTTTATACTTTTATGGATTAGCGCGTCTACGTCAATATATACAGAGAGTCATAATTAATAATGTAAACATAAACGCTAATCATGGAATTGTTAAATTAATTGAGGTTCAAAAGAACTTAAAGTATTTTGAATGGATAAATGATCTTGATGAATGTTATGATATTAGAGTAGATCCTTATAAAGAAATTATTCTTGCATTAGAAAAAAATGCAGATACTATCAATCATTTAGAATTATTCTTCCTATATAGTGATCGAACACCACAAAAGGTATACCCAAAATTTCATAAAGTAAAAACATTAATAATTAATTATTTTGGTTCTCTTAATGAAGAACAGTTAAAAATGTGTATTTATCATGATCTTGAGATGTTAAAAATTGGTCATTATGATTTAAATGCAGCTACAATTATAATTGAAAATAGTGGAAGAAATCTAAAGAAAATTTATTTAGAATTTTGTATTTATTATGATTATTACGATAATTTTAATGAACATTCTCACATTCTTATTCGTAAAATTCATGAAAATTGGCCTTCAATTAAATATTTGTCTCTTATATTTCCACCATCAAAGCAACATTTTAATGAATTTGAAATATAATATTACAAATGTGTCAAAATTTGTATTTATGAATAAAATAAGAAATGAAGAAAAACATTTAGAATATGGAGAAGAATTATTAAAAATATTAATTAGATCATCACATAATAATTTAAGAGAAATTAGATTTCTTTATGTTAAATTTTCTTTGGAATCCTTGGAAGAATTTTTTGAAAAATGGAAAGGCCGACCTGCACTTTCCATAATTACATGTAATCGTATTTATAAAGATGATAATTATGTAAAATTGATTAATAAATATAAAAATAATGGAGTAATTAAAGATTTTATATATGAAAACCATTACAATATATTAAATATGGACTTTAAAATATAAATACTATGTTATCACAATAAAGAATTAGGGATTGAGATAAGAAATATGATGGTTAGGAATATGTGGGACGAGAGAGATTTTATCAGGTTATACTAAGTATGAATCTCTTTTATTCAAGAAATATGATGGTGGGAATATGTGAGACGAGATGGGATAGATGAGATTTTCTCAGGTTTATACTAAGTATGATTCGCTTTTTTTCAAGAAATATGATGGTTGGGAATATGTGAGACGAGACGAGACGGGATGGATGAGATTTTATCAGGTTATACTATGATTCGCTTTTTATTCAAGAAATATGATGGTTAGACGAGATGGGATGGATGAGATTTTATCAGGTTATACTATGTATGATTCGCTTTTTTTTTCATCAATTGAAGGGTCCAATTTTGAGCAGCAAAAATTAGCAAAATCTACTTTCACTGTAATTTGATTTATTTGAATTTTACTATCATTTATCCAAATAAAGTTTTATAGTTTATTACAATTTTCATATAACATATTATAAATTACCAATTATTTGTTATATCTTTAAATAAGAAAAGAAAATAAGATTAAAACATTCATATTAACGGTGATATTGGTTATAAACGTGAGAAATTGAATTTTATGAAACAGTAAATAGAAGCATCTTGACTAATTAACCACTTTACCAATGATTAATCTTGAAAATTTAAGTAGTAGTATGGTTTATCAAATCATGAAAATCATGGTTCATCTACAAAACCTAACAACTATCAAATAATATGGTTTAAGTACAAGTTGCCAATAAGACTAACCCAAAAAGATACTTAGAATAAAAAATCTGGATACGTTTTTAATAATGTTCTTATACGATTTTGTTTTAGAAAATCTGTTGAATTTGGATACGGAATCCACATGATTAGGACACTGAATTTA